AAAACTATCAAACATGTTATCATTATTTGAATTGTAAATCTCAGGATTAGAAGTAGCAAAATTATATTCATCAAGTAGGTTTTGACACACTGTAAGTCTTTGTTGATATGAACGTAGTAGTTTTTCAACAGCTAATTCAGAGATATTATCATGAATTAAACCCATTTCTACTTTTTATTTTCTTCATCTAAAAATTAATCCTCATGATTTACAAAGTTGTATTGGCAGTTAAAGTATTCTTAAACAATCTGTGTATATTCATGAGATAAAAAATCTATGTCAACTAATTTTAAAACTTCATGCATAGCCATTGAAACCTATTATATTTTATTATATTTAACAAATTAGAATAATTTATTCTGCAAATTTTAATATTCACTGGAGATGAAATTTACCAGATATATTAATCGATATTTGGTATACTAAGTAAAAATATTCAAAACCCCAGTTTCTGCTTTAATTTAAAACTTAAACTCTAACTTAAAGTCTAATTTTAACTTTAAAACATTGTGGCAAATTTCATCTTCAGTGAATTCTAAATAAATATAATTTATTCTATTTTTTTTAACTTATAGTTTTTAGTTACCTTTTCTAATATATTACCGATTTCAAATTCTGTTAGAAATAATGATAGTTCAGGATCTAATGATTCTTTAATTGATTCAAGACATATATTATAGCTATCATTACTGTCAAGATGTTTAATAGATTATAAAATAAAAAAAATTAGTAATTTTTTTTTAAAATTTTTTAAATAGTTTTTTTATCTTTTATTTCAATATTGATATTTTTAATAATTTTTTTATTTATCATTAAAAAATCTAATAATGTAAAATCTTTAATTAATCTGCATGCATATCTAAAAATATGTTTCAAAAATACTGTAGAAATTAACCAAGGATATAAAGAAACATCAACATATGCTTGTGGAAAATAACTAATTAATAAAATTAATGTATATCTGAGATAAAGAAAATCATCTTTAGTTTGCCAGGAAATTCCATATTTTTTGGAATTACGTTAAGCTGGATTATTTTTAATATATTTCCATATAGCTACAAAAAATATAGTTCTGGACCAAGCATAGGCTATTCGATCAATATATGCTATTGTTTTAGATTTCTATGCTTCTAAAAGCATGTCTGAAAAAATAAAATATAACACATCTTCATAAAAAGTATCATTATTGTATTTTTTAGCATGTTCAGAAATCACTAGTTTAAGATTATCAAATTAATATTAAAAAAATAAAAGTTAAATATTTTATATAATCAGTGAAGCTAATATATTTCTTAAAATACATGATGAATAAAACCGTTTAGCAAGTTTGTCAGATTGTTTGTCTTTGAGATTTAATACATCAGTAGTTAGACCAAACTTCCCTTCGTAAATAATATATAATTGCCAAAGATGTTCAGTTAACATTATATAATTCCTAATTGGTATAATACGAGTATCAGAATTATGCATATTACATTCTAAATATAGTGCACGACACTTAAAGACTACACAAACTTTAAAAGCCAATAACTTTTGATCTAAAAAAGATATTTTAAAAA